TGTGTGTGTGTGTGTGTGTGTGAGTGTGAGTGTGTGGGATTTCCAAAGTTTGAGAGTCCTTGGAAACTGTGAAATTTTACATTTTTGGGATGCTTTTAATCAACTTTTCTCAGTAATATCCGGGCGGAAATGTCTGAATGTTTTTAATGGATTGAAAAGGTGATGAGCCAAAAAAAAACCCCAATAAACCAAAAACAATTCCCCAAAACAGGGGGGAAAAATTCCGTTTTGTACGAATTCATTATTTGGATATGCTTTTGATTTCACCACGATACCGCACAACACAATATTAAACATGAAAGGTTTGGCACCCAGAATCCCCCCCTCCCCTACCCTCATCTTTCCAATCAGTCCTGAACACCAGCACCCTAATAGAATTTGTGAACTAGAATAAATATTTCATTTTTCACGTCCATTTTCAATAATATCGTCATGTATTTAAAAAAAAAATGTTTTAAAAAAAGGTGAGCGTGGTGTCAGTCAGAATTCAGAAAACAAATAAAACATAAATCGCATTTTCCGAATTAGCTGCTCAGAATTCTGCGGCGAAACGTGTATAAGTTTGCCTTTGATTACTGTGCTTTCATACCAAACAAGGGGCTCGAATGATGTTCCCAACAATGGGGACAGTATTAACCAGTGCGCACTTTTAGCCAGGTGCAGAATACGTTAAATTGGCTTCTTTGATATTCTATGTGAAGAATTGTAAGAGTTGTAGACCGCGTATAATTAGCCTGTGGGTCTTTTTTTTTTAAACAAAATTTTAAAATACGTGACGATAATAATATTATTAAAAATGGATTTGAAAAATGATATAGAATCTATTTATTCTAGTTGACTTTCGGGCATCTAGTCTCTATTTCTCGATCTAATTTTCCATTTTCTGTGAAAATGCTGCCCAAGTATTTGAATTCGCGGCTTTGCTTTAGATGGGATCCATTGATGTAGATATCCACTTTGTCCGGTCTCCTGCTAATTGTCATGACTTCGGTCTTGATAATACTGATCTACATGTCATATTTCTCGCAGCTCGCATTTAGTTGGTTCATATCCTCCTGTATTTTTGCCAAACATGACATGTAACAGATGTGTAGATTGATTCTCTTATTCCGCTTTCGCTATTTTACACTCTAGAATTTCAAAGGTGTAGAATCAGTACTGGCTCTCGGCTACTGAACGGAAATCTCACTTGTTTACAATGGCGTCTTAGAAGACAAAATTTCCCAAGATTAGAACTCTGCGTGGACGAAACAAAGCATTTTGGAAAAATCGGGGAAAGCAGCTTGCGTGGATTTTTTTTTAAGTTAGGAGGAAGCCACATGGATGATGTGGACGCCTGCAAAGTTTCAAAGGTGTGGGTTAGGTAATAAGGGAGGAGTTTGTGCACAAAGCCTTCCAAGTCCACTTTATCCAAAATAAAAACCTTGCGTTTTGGTGTTTTCACTCTCCTGTAAAGTTTATACTTCTTTCCTATAAAACATCTATCGTCCTTACCGCTCCTCCTTTTTGTTTGTTTCGAGAAACAATCTTCGGCTCTTATATGATCTTATGAGCTAATTGTGTATATAAAGTGTCGTAAAACCCTTTTTAAAGAACAGAAACCGAGTTAATATGCCTTAGGTACAGCCCGGAAGAGATCAGTTTTGATGCCCAAAATTATGGAAATTATTATAGATTCTAATATTTTCAAAAAATATTATTTTGGGTTGTTTTAGTCCAGAAACATCTGATTTATCAATTAAAAACAGTTACAAGACATTGACTAAGACATCTATACTCAGATGTTTAGAAAACTAAACAAAAAGTACATTTTTGGAATACAGCACTTCAAAATAGGTTTTGACGGATGGGTCACCTGTGCAGAGAAATTTCTGAAATTACAAATCACAACTCCATTTCCCTTTGCGGGGATGTTTCTAAAGGGTATGCCTACAACGTACCAACGTTAATCGTGAGTGTGTGATAAGTTTTCGGTCAGTTTGAGAAGATTTGAAAGTATTTGCCACCTATTTTTGCCCGTGCACCGTGTATGACACAGAAGGGTATGTACAAAAAAAAGAGTATATGGAGTAGTAAAATAGACCATTAGTACGTTGCAGGTTGTATTTTAGAAGCATTATGTGAAAATACTAGTACTATATCAATTCAACAATCTTTGCAGAGAATTTGTGTGTATTTTGGTCTGTCAAATTCACATTAAAATTTTCAAAAATTGTCAATGGCATCATAAATGGATAGTAGACCTATGTTTCTTTTCTTCTATGTTTCTTTTTTTCTTTTTTGTGTCTGGTATTGGCTACTGGGAATCACAAAATACACAATATCATTGAGCATAAACAAAACACTTTCGCCCTGGCTGTGCCTACTGTACCATAACTGTTTAGAATCCTGCTGCCACGACACGTGTCTTCTGAACATCGCCATTTTCTATATTATTTAATTTATTATCCTTCTTTTTCCTTCCATTCTCTACCACATTTTTCAGAGACTATTCCACTAAAAAAAACTCCTCCTTTAATTAAGTATCGCAAGTTTCATCTATGTCGTGTTATGCAGTAACAACAACAACCCCGTGGACAACTCAATACCCCCCCACCCCCACCCCCCAAACAAAAGATACTACACAAACACTCTCTTTTTCTCTCTATCTTTTCTCCCCTTCCCACTTCTATCCCCCTCTTTCTTTCTGTTTCTTGTCCCTCCCTCCACCACTGCATCTGTGTGTGTTTGTGTGCGTGTGTGTGTGTGTGTGTGTGTGTGTGTGTGTGTGTGTGTGTGTGTGTGTATGTGTGTGTGTGTGTGTGTGTCCCCCTCTCCTCCCTCTAGTGGGGGAACCTTTTGCATCACAGTACACCTTTTATAATTGTCTGTCTCATTCATATAAGTATAACTAAACTTTATCTCTGCTGCTACTGTACGTTTGGTGAGAATGCAGTTGGTTAAAATACATTAATAACACATACTACCAAGGTGGAATTAATTGGTGACTATAAATGCGAAAACATACATTCACGAAGAGAAAAAAAAAGAAACAAACCCCGGGAGGCCAAAAGATAAATCTACGATAACTGCTAAACAAATAACCCTTTTAATTTCTTTAGTTTTGTGACATTTTGTTCTATTGAATATTTTATCATTGTTTTATTTAAATTAAAAATGTGGTCTCTTGTGAATTTTACTTGCATTAATGCAAAAGTAAAAGTTAATTGTTTTGTTTTAAAGAAGCCTCCCTATGCATTTGGAAAGGAAAACACTTTTCGTTGAAAAGGCGTCAACATGGCGGTTGTTTGGACGTTGGCAGCCGCCGCGACACTTGTGAAACTGTTGTTCATTCCGGGATAGTAAGTGTTTTGAAGAATACGTTATGTTCTTGGTCGCTTTCGTGTCTCCCCCCGTAATAAAATAAATTGACAGTATTGCGTTTTGTGGTTTCTAAAAGACTGTCTTCCCATTTTGGGTGAGGGTGTGTCTCTCTGTACTCTGACTCTGTGGTCTGTGGTGGCTGTGGACTGCTGGAAGGCAGCTGTCGGTTTTGTTAATTTTTCCCACACTGCGCCACCACGGCCATCCTGCCGCTCTACTATATTGAATGTTCGCAGTGGGCTGGTGGGGGTTTCAAGCTCCTCACAACTTCTGTTAGATTATTAAACTAAAAAACCCCCAACAAAATAAGACTTTTTCTTTGGTCTTTTTGTGGCTTGCCATTTTTTCCCCGAAGCCGAAGTGGCTAGATCTAGATCTAGATCTAGACTAGATTCTATTCTCAACTAGAATCTAGATCTAGATCTAGATTTTCTATATATCTCAATCTATAACCTATTTAATTCGAACTCGAGTCTGTATAGCCTCCCGTGGCTATTTGGACTCGAACTCCAATGCGCGATGTAACACTCAGATAATTATATATTATTATATTATATGTGTTGTTTTATTCTGATTTTATTTGAAAATCATGAAAACATTTAAAAGCTTCTCCTTTAGACAGACCACTGTTACTAAACTTTTAATGACTGACTTTTGTTCCCTTTGGAAAGGTTTTAACTTTTCCCTTTTTAATTTCTGATTGGACTTCCATTTGATCACTGATTTATTTTGTCTTTCTCGTCTTATTATAATGATTGTAAACTTACGCGGGTTTAGACTACATTGGTGACAGCTATTTTATATTTATAATAATCCTTTGTTGTTCTGAAACTAATTTTCAATTTTTTTCACTGCTTTGAGCTCAGATTGCCGATTCCCTATTTGCCTTTAAAGTTGTTGTCCAGCATTTCATATTTGCAACTGTTGTTCACTTCTGACGTCACTAATACTTTTCTTAATTTGTGTAGAAAAGTTTGGCCAGATCGTAGAAATTGAGGAAGGTCAAGGTCAAATTGCCTGTCTGCTTCTCATCCGGTACTCCAGGGTGATTTCGCAACGCGCCTTGGAGTTTGAGTCGGAATAGCCACGGGAGGCTATTCATTCAGACTCAAGCCGCTTGCACACGCTTGACACACACACTAGCCTAGCCTTCACTTCAGTGATAGTGTATCATGTATCCTACTACTATACCGACTTTTTTAGACAACAGACTAAGTACTGAAGTGTTGGAAAATACACTTATTTTATTTTAATGCGCCCGTGCATTGAACTCTTTTTTTTCTGGTTTTGCCATTTGCTCCTCATGAACTTGCCATGCCAGAGAAAAATTATGAACTTTCAAAGACCAGATTTGTGTACACCTTTATGTGTGAGTGTGAGAACGAAGCCTATAAAAATCTACTGTAGTTGTGTTCCTTTCCAGACTTCTCTACTATAACTAGTATAAAAATAATTTAGCATGAATTAGACTGATAAAAATTTAATGCAGAAAAATGTGTAGGAAGGGGTTTTTTTTTGGGGGGGGGGGGGGTTACATGCCCCATTCCCACCGTTTTGACGCTCGCACTGGCCCTCTTTAGAGTTTGATTTTTAGTTTTGAAGTGTTTGGAAGTTTTATGGCCATATATATTTGTATCGGTCCACTTAATGAAATGGTCTACACCGTTATATAATGTGGTCTACCCTTAAAGCTAGAGCTGGGTTTTTTGCCATTTTTTTTCCTTCAAATTTTTGCCTAAAGTTGCCACAAAAAATGGCAAAAGTTGCCATAAAAGTTGCCATTAATTTTCTAGCTTTCAACTCTCTGTGACGACGTGTAGCAATATAATGTTGATAGAGGTGTAACTTAACCCCTTGGTTGCTTTATGACATACCTGGTACGTCATGACAATGTGTAATTTCTAACGCTGTGCCATACCATCATGTACGTCACGGAAGTGGGCAGAATTTGCCGCTCTTGGTTGCCTGTATGAAGTTACATGTATGACACGCTAAGAACCTGGCTCGAATTCTAGGTACAGAGTTTAAGGCCAAGCGCTGCATAGATTCTTTTCGGGAATGAAAGACGTGCATGATATCAGTGCTGATTTTGCTAGGCTTGCAAGCGATCGATAACACAGATCACGTGCTCTCGTAAAATGTAAACATTGGAATGACTTTAAAAAAAGTAAATAAGTTCACTTTTTTACTTAGATTTTTAGTCAAAATTAGAAGTAAGGTAAGAGGAAATATTGAATCAGAAAAGTGAGAAAAGCGAAACAATCGAAGACCCAGCGTCTGAAATATGTCACAAGAATACTAGATCTAGACCGCGCGTCCATTAACACTGAGACATTAGGCTACTGTGCTGGGTAACGAGCTCAGCTGAAAATCTGCTCTGACAGTAGGAATGCATACCCCTTGACAACGAAAGGGTTAATCTAGAGCATCAGAATTTCTTGTGCTTTGTTTTATGCGTCCAGAATGTATCATTTGTAGCCACACAAAGTGTAATAACGTGAAAAATAAAGGTTTCACCACAGAATGAAATCAAAACTAGAATAGCACTTAATCAACCACAAAAATTATCAAATATACAAGGGTCTGTGCCCACCTATCCAAAGATTGGCTGTTTTAACCCTAAACATGTAATTAGATAAAAAGTACAAGATATTACACGTTAAATTATGGAATCACACACAAGGGGCCTTCCTGTGTCAGTATTCGATTTTGGTGGGGACACGCTCTAACGGTTAAACACAGTTTTTAAAAAAAGGTAGAAACAGGATCAAATTAAATGACATTACACTATATAAACACGAAAAAGAGAGAAAAACAACAACACCAGAACAATAACAACAACAAAAATTGACACACCAGCCAATTAAAATACAGCAAAGAGATAAAGATAAAAGAGAAACGGCAACATATTATATAATGTTAATTTAATACAGTATAGAGCTTATACATTTTCCAAACCTATCATTTTGTGCGATTCATCAAGTTTTAGCCCAGGAGACTTTAATGGACATGGGGAGGTGCATAAAATACTATCCAACCCACATCACTACTCAAATTATCCAAAAACTGCCATGATCCTCATTCCTTGTTTTTCCGTTGTACGTTTCCCTTCATGTTTCTTGAATCTTATACTTTTAAAATGACTTTTCTGGGTTTTTTTTACAGCAGATCAACTGATTTTGAAGTGCATCGAAACTGGCTGGCTATCACCCATTCTTTGCCGATGCGGAAATGGTATACAGAGGTAATTTGTTAGCTTCTGAAATATTTTGCAGTGGAATGATATATGTGTAGATTAATTTTGATATTTTATGTTCCGTTTAGGGAAAAATTCCACCAATCTTCAGTTTTACAAAAGGGTCACCTCTTGCTAGGGTATGAAATACAAAGATTTATTAACAATGAAAAATAAATGGAAGTGGGCAAAATTTATGTTAGTGCCCACCAATCCCAGGCTTACATGTTGCAGCAACTTGTTACTTGTCTCATTGTTTAAGTTACTGCGTTTGTTACTTTGCTGTTACTGTGTTTCCTAAAGATCTTATTTTACTTTTTTTTTCAACTGTTGATTAGATTTGATCTTCAGAGTTTCATCCTTTAATTAGATTGAAATATTTTGGAAAATTCCATTCCTCACACAAATTTTGAAGCGATAGAAAACAAATATTTTCCAATTGAAGGTTGGTCTTCTTTTACTGACTTGTAAAACTGGACTATGCTATCTGATTGTTTTTTGGGGATTTTTTTTCAGGATACATCAGAATGGACTCTGGATTACCCGCCTTTCTTTGCTGCGTTTGAGTTCCTCCTGTCATGTGTGGCTCAGTTTTTTGACGCTCAGATGCTCATTGTGAACAATCTGAAGTATGCGAGTGAGCGCACGATTCTGTTCCAGAGACTGTCTGTCATCTTCACAGATTTTGTTTATTTTTATGCTGTGAACGAGTAAGATATTGGTACAAATAATGGGGTGAGATGCAAAACCCGCTAAGCGACGTTTTGGGAAAAATCAAGATTTTTTGCTTATAAATGCATTGTTAACGGCTATCAGATGCACAAAGTGCTTTCGGCCAAAACCCAACACATACTTCATATAAGCCACCAAAACATGTTTTTACGCTTGTTGGTGCATATAGCTGCATTAAAAAAAGCTGATTTTCTTAAAAGTGCTAAAAAGGACGTCGTGGGTTTTGCATCTCAGCCCCTCAAATACTTTTATAGATTTTGGATGGTCAAAGGGACATGGTGGGGGTAGATAAGGGGTGCAGGTGGGCATGTGTTGCTCCTGAAAGTTATCTATTTTCCTCTTGGACTGATTTGTTCTCACTTGGTACTCATTAGGGGCCCTTCCCAAAGTAAGTGGGTGGTTGGCGGGTACTCTAGTGTCTAGTGTGGTTGCTCCTTCTCTCCTATCAAGCATCTGTTGTCCTTATCTCTCCTCATTCTTTTTTTATGTTTGTTACTCTTTTATAACACCTCTAATCTTCGGCATTTATATGTCCATATTGTGTTGCAAATGCCGTAAAACTCTTACTAAAACCAAACCCTCCCCCCTCCTCCCCCCCCAAAAAATATAGGAATATTCCTATAGTTGAAATCTGCATTGTGGTTATCATGGAGACGCTGAGTTTCGTGTTGAAGTTCAGTTTGAGCAATGATGCAAATAGAAAAGCCAGAAGCTGTCATGAGTTTGGAGCAATGATCTAGATGCAACTTTGTTTGGAAAAGCCCACAATATCTTGGTCTTTTCTTTTTGAGTCTTTGGCTATTTGACCACATTGTGTTGCAAGCACCATAAAACTCTCACTTACTAAAACTAAAAGTGTCTTTGATATCCTGATGTAAGAGAGAAAGAAGCTTGTTTACATGCAGTACTTATATGTGTCAGAAGTAGAATGTTAGTGTTTTTTCATCTCCGATCAGCGACCTCCGCATTTTCAACGAAAGAAGAATCATGTACCAGAGATATTGTTCACGTGGAATCGGTCGCTTAGTATTAGTAGTTAGCCTACCAAGTCCATAACTGTGAGATTGTGGGTTCAGGGTTCGAACGTCGGCTGGGTCTGACATTGTGTTCTTGGGAAAGGCACTTTATACGAATTTCCTATTTGTCTCAGTCCTTTTGGAGACGGCAGTTGAATCCACAGGTCTCGCCTCTCACATAACCTTATGGTGTTGAAAGGGCCTTTTAACTTACACTTAAGAGATTATTCCACAGTTTTTTACAAGCTGTCCATATGGAAGCTCTTCACAAAATAATATATTTGGATTGTTAGTAGAAAATCATAAAATCTTTCCCCAAATATAGAAAAATGAAAAAAAATGTCACCATATGAAAGTGGCTACATGAGGTCACCTTGCTGCGGAGTAATTTTTAGCCCAGAAATGGCGTGAAGTTTTGTAAAAATGTGGAACATTCTGCAGTGAGAACTTGATAGTGTCTCCTGTATGACTCCGTGAACCTCCCTCAGTTTGTTCTCGTTTCTCAATGTAAATTATTTCAGATTTTACAAGAACAGACTTCTGTTTGCGGGCAAAAATTTGCGGAGAATGGACTCTCAACCAGCAATCATACCTGCACTCCTCATATTCAATGTTGGATTGTTTATTGTGGATCGTATCCTTTTCATGAATAGAGTTGAAACTGTCTAAGTAGACTCTAAGACAAGCACCCATTGTCAAGGAAAAACTGGCTGTCTTAGACAGGTGAACGTTTTATACAATGTCATTGATAATATTATATATATAATATACAAAAAAATGTGACAGGGAAGGGATGAGGAGTGGCTGTTTGTACAGGTGATTACACATGTGGCTGTCTGTACAGGTGATTTTCTTATACAGGTTGCCGTTTGTCCTGGTGATTGTCTTTTATACAGGTGGCTGTTTGTACAGGTGATTTTCTCATTCCAGGTCTGACTGTCCTTTCTGAAAGTTGAATGAAAGTGTTCCAAGTTTTTTTTATGATTACATGTGTGAGCCGTTATGTCGCAGTGTCTATCATGTTTTGATTTGTCATTTTGGGTTCTGTCTGTGTTGTAGTCTATTTAATTCACACAACATGAAGTGAAAAGTGAAAAAATCTGGACCAGACTGGTTTGGAAAAAAAATGATAGAATGTATTCGATTGAAATATTTAAAAAAATGTATTTTAAGCAAACAAATGTTAAAAATTTGGGTACTGATTACATTAGCAAAGAAGCATCTGTAAAAAATATGCAAGGCGAATTTATTTTAACCAGGCTTAGCTGTATTTTTTTCTTGGGCAAAAGAAATAGTTGTGAAAGGGATTGTTAAGTCAAACTTTGTGACTGTTGGGTTGGCACCATTGGTTACCAAGTTGAATAGTTTGCAGAAGGTACTGATTCAGATCCAAATAAAGTTTTTAGCCATGTCTTGTTCTTCCTGAGTGTTTTTTCCTCTAAACAGCCAAATGCTGGTGTCTTGACTGCTTGGTACCTTGGAATCCTCCTCCTCCACTTTTTCAAACTGCCCTTTAGCTAAGACAGTGCACTGAAAGTGTGTTGTTTTATAGAAAAAATGTTGTTTTGGCTGGTTCATATCAAGTTTCTCTGAGTTCTGGTTTTATTAACAGCCTGGTTCCTCTCAGAAAATGAAGCATTTCTGCTGTAATTTGATACGTTAAAAAAATAATGTATTGTTATTTGTTTAAATTTTATACTTGAGACAAAAATCGCATGAAACAGGAAAAAGTGTACACCGGATTTGTTTCCCTTATGAGAGTGCAGACATTCACTTTCAGTACAACGGCATCCTGTTTGGCATATTGCTTCTGTCCCTGGTGAGAATAACACAGGTGAGGAAAACCCTGCCCAAATCTCCTACTACAAAAATAAATAGTAATACTGTGCCTAATCAGCAAACGTTACATTAAAATTTGTAGAAACATTACAAATGTTTTCAATAGATAATCTATTGATTAAATTTTATATACTAGCTGTGCAATTTGTACTTTGAAATTTATTATGTCTTTGCCCTATTGAAAGGATCTCATGTAAGGTTCGATTCAGCAAAACTATTTACTTTTTCCTGCAGAAACATGTACATTTCAAAGTAAATGTTGACCATGGAATGCTTCTCAAAAGTTGGATCAGTAGGTGACTAGTTATGTACATGTTACTTAGATATTCCTGGTCAAAAACTGAAAAAACTGGTCTGAGAAAAATAAACTTCTACACTGATTGGAATATATTAGTGTTACATAGACACCACCACATCCCCCTTTCCCCTAATCCTCCTCCTTGCAAACATGACATTAAAGTAGCAAAGATGTGACAATAGAGACTTTGTTTCTGTTATTTAAATTTAATTATATATATTGCCACGATGCGGTGGAATCAGGCGCCCGTAAATTTTTGGACATATGATGTTATTGGTATCATCTTAAAGCCGGTTCATTTGTCTTGCTTTGGATGAAAAAAATATCAATTTTTCTTGAATAGCCTTCGAGATATTTGTGATATGGTGGAAGTGGGGGTCGCCTGGTTTCAGGGCTAAAATTAGAGAGAAAAAGTTTGGTGACTTCCAAAGATTGAGAGTCCTTGGAAACTGTAAATTTACATTTTTTTGTTTCTTTGTTCAACATTTTCCAGTAAAAGCCACACAGCAATGTGTTTTTAAATTTAGCCAATAAATGAAAATTCAATCGAAATTATCAAACGGGAAGAAAAATACTGTTTCCCTTGAATTCATTATTTTGACTAGTGCCTGATTCCACCACGATGCCTCACATACGGCCACTTGGGAAAGTTTAAAACTTTTTCTTGTCTCACTGGCACAATGTCTTAAAATATATTGTTACACCCCCCCTCCCCTCTCCCCCCCTTCTCTCCCCCTTCTCCACCCCTTCTCCCCCCCCCCCCCCAATCTCCCCTCTCCTGCACCCCCATCCCTTGTCCTTTTTTCGTATTTCATCAGAACAGAGTGTTAGAAGGTGCGTTCTGGTTCGCCGTGTTGCTGAATATGAAGCACATCTACATGTACGTGGCCCCTGCCTACTTCGTTTACCTGTTGCGGAGCTATTGTTTCACCGGTACTTTTGTCCGTGTCGCTCTGTTCCTCGTTTCTATAATATTGTCACTCACTTTATTCTTTGTTCTATAATTTTGTCACTTTATTCTTTGTTTCGATAATTTTGTCCATTTCACTCTGCTCTTTTTTTTCTATAATTTTATCACTCTGTTCTTTGTTTCTGTAATTTTATCACTTTATTCGTTATTCTATAATTTTGTCTCTTTATTCTTTGTTTCAATAGTTTTGTCACTCTGTGCTTTGTTTGTGTAATTTTGTCACTTTATTCTCTCTTTCTATAATTTTGTCACTCTGCTCTTTGTTGCTATAATGTTGTCACTTTATTCTTTGTTGCTATAATTTTGACACTGTGCTCTATGGTTTTTGTAATTTTATCACTTTAATCGCTGTTTCTATAATTTCATCACTTTTTACTTTGTTTCTATAATTTTGTCACTTTATTCTTTATTTCTGTAATTTTGTCACCCTGTTCTTTGTTTCTGTATTTATGGTCTTTCTAAACGAAGGTATAAGACTTACCAGTGTCTCTCTTTTCTTGTAATGAACTCTTCTGGGCTTATTTTTCAAGGCATTGGTTGCCTAGTGGTTAGACTACCGGACTCATAGTTGTGAGATTGCGGAGTTGGGGGTTCGAGCCTCAGCTCGGTCCGACATTGTGTCCTTTGGAAAAGACACTTTGCACGAATTTCCCATTTGGCTCGGTCCTTTGGAGATGGACGTTGGACTTGGAGGTCCCGCCTCTTAGGTAACCTGACAGTGTTGATAGGGACATTAAACCTATACCATTTCGCCATTTTATTTTTCAACCTGGGGGGGGGGGGTAAGTCGTGGTGTGCCATTTGTTGCTCCTGCTTCTTTTTAAAAAATGTTCTCTCTAATGTTTTCTCTGTTTTTCTTACTCTCCCTTAAACAAAATGGCTTATATTGTGTCAATGTGCTGCTGCTTAGAGGTTATTGTGTCAATGTGTTGCTTTTTAGAGGTTATCTTGTCATTGTACGTATTGCTTTTTAGAGTTTATTGTGTCAGTGTGCAGCTCTTTACCGGTTATTGTTTCAATGTGCTGATCTGTACTCAAACAAAATTATTTTTCCACTTCCAGGAACCGGTCCGGTGTTGTGGAGAAAATTTTCCATAGGACGATTTGCGAGTCTTGGTGCTGTTGTCGGTGCAGTCTTTGTTATGTCGTTTGGACCATTCATTTACTTTGTGAGTGAAAAACTGATGTTTGCCTTTGTTATGTGTGGTATGTGATGCTTTTGATGAGATTGAAGGCTATTTATAATGCTACATGTATTTTCTATGATGGGATAGAGGAGGAAAACTAGGTTTTGTTGACTTTGTTAACATTTTCTAGAATCATCCTTTCTTAACATTTTCTTTGATTTCCCTTTCTTAACATTTTCTTTGATTTCCCTTTGTTAACATTTTCAAGATCGTTCCTAATTATAATTCTAGATCATCTTTTGTTAGCATACACAAGATCGTCCCTTGTTAAAATTCTTAATCATCCTTTGTTTACATTCTCTTCTGAAGATAGCACATATAGTCTTGGAAGTCTTGAGAGTTTGTCGAAATGGCAAAGTTACGTCTTTTGTGCCTTTTCTCAATGTTTATCAGTAAAATCCACATATAAATGTGTCCTTAAATGGGCATAACAGATTTTGAGCTATGAAAAAAAAAAGAAAAAAATTGCCCAACAAGCGGAAAATGTCTGTTTCTTCAATTTCGTTGTCTTGATGAGCGCGTGATTCCACCACGCTGCGATGCGTATGTACACTGTCCTTTGTGCTGTTTTATTTCGCAACTTACAGGTGGGTGATTTTTTTTGGGTTGTTTTTTTTTTTAAATAATTTTTTTCTTTTTTGAACATATTATCTGTCCCCATGGTTTTATGCAAAAAAAATTAATGAAATTATGCAAACTGAGCCCAAGAATTTGAAATTATGTAATTCTGTTAATTTTAACAAAGAAGAATGATGAAGGAAAATAATCAGAAATTATGCAAAAAATTATCAAATTTTGCTAAATTATGCGGGGTGCATAAAACCACGGGGACAGTATTATGTCACTGTGTACACAGCTGTCTGATCTAAAAACAAATGGCTTTCTGAGAAGTGAGTTGTGTTATTTGAATGCTTGTAAGATGGTTACAATGCGGTGATTGTATAAAGAGGGGGAAGAAGGGCGGCATTTGAAATCAATTCTTGTCGTTAGGAATGTCATGTTCTGCTGGTTTGTGTTGAGCACAATCTACTCTACTTTTGTCTGAGTATCTCTGTTCGTGTGCTGGGATAATGTATCCTTTTCATACCGGGTTGGTCCTGACAGCCAGCGCCAAATCCCACCTCCTTAACTCACTTGAGCCTGAGCTATTTTTCCCCCAACAACCTTTGCAGCTTGACAGGTTTAGGGTATATTGATTGGTTAACCATAAAAAGACTAGTGAACGCTATCGTAATTTTTTTAGTGCAAAAAAAGAAAGAAAGAGATGCCCTCACAGAAAAAGAATTCTGCAACTGATTTTTCCAAATAGCTTTTATTTTATCAATATTTTGAAATGGCAATGTCTGGGGGTTGTACAATTTTTTTTTTTCCCGTCCAGTTTATAATAAAATCATCTATCGCAATGTGGGGGTGATTGACTTAGTCCATTACTGCTCAAAAAGCATCACACATAACTTCTCCAAATTTTTAACGAAAAGAAATAAGTGGGTCAGCTGTTGGTTCATCGCTTCCCGTAGCTTGCAACCGAAAAACACCGGAGATAATGATCAATAAAGCACTTCCCGTAAATACACAGGATTAGGCCACTGGTTCCTCGTGGAACCTGGAGAAGAGTCACGGAAATGGATGTACAGAAAAATGGGAAGATATGAAGTGACATCAAGCGACTCTCCAAGGATAGGGAAAGGTGGAAAGTGTTTGTTCGTGACCTATATCCTGATCCAGGGTGAGAAAGTGTTTGTTCGTGGCCTATATCCTGATCCAGGGTGAGAAAGGCAATGATCAAGCCACCGAGCCAGCGGCGCGTCGTATAAAACCACGTGAAAAGGCTCATGTGAGTTAATGATCTGAATTGTGTAGATGGGGGTGTAAAACATCTGCAACTGTAACTACCATCGCTTTTTTTTTTCATTAGTTGACCTTTTCTTTCCCCAGCAACAAATAGGGCAAGTGCTGTCACGGTTGTTTCCCTTCAAGCGCGGCTTGCTCCATGCCTACTGGGCCCCCAACTTCTGGGCGTTGTACGCTGTGTGTGACAAAGTCCTCACTGTCTCTGGTAAGTGTGTGTGTGTGTGTGTGCATATGTGTTTGTGTGTGTGTGTGTGTATTTGTGCATGTGTGTTTGTGTGTGTTTGTGTGTGTCTATGTAAGTGTGTGTGTGTGTGTATACGTGTGTGTGTGTGTGTGTGTGTGTGTGTGTGTGTGTGTGTGTGAGAGACAAAGTCGTTAATGTGTCAGGTAAGTTTGTAAACACAGGACTCTTTGTCTTGCACGCAGAAGGTGTGAGTTCCATTCCAATGCAAGACAGCTTCTTTTATGGAGTTTCTCCTTTTCATGTAAGTGTACTGAAGCACTTAGCTGTTTTGAAGAAGTCTGCCTCATAACCCTATCCGTATGTCGTGTTTTACTATTGTATCCGTACAACCTGGGGAACTCTGTGCCACCACTGTCCAAAGAGGAAATTTACTCGTTAATCCGATCCATATGCTTTGCATAGCAGTCTGTCCAAATGATTTTTTGAGAAATACTGAAAGTTTCAAAGAGATATTCGTACTAATAGAATTCTAAAATGTGAAGAATACAACCCCGTGGATACAAAATGTCTCCGGGGTGTACGGATAGGGTTAAATCCTCTAAATTTTATCAATGTCATAAACATACACCATCTGTGAGCCATCTTGAATCTAAATGATCTAGCTTTATCAAAGTTTTCATAAATGATATACCATGAGCCTGCTTCTCAAATGGCATAAATTCTGTGGGCTTGTGCGTGAACCATTGACCGTTGGTCTTGTCTTCCCAGCCGTGCGACTGGGTCTGGTGGGTGCTGACCGCGTGGCGTCGGCTGCGATGACCGGGGGTATGGTGCAGGAGTACAGCTTTGTGGTGCTGCCCGACGTCCCTCCGATAGTCACGATGATGGTGACGGTCATCGCCATGATGGTGAGAGCTGTGTGTGTCTGCTTGTGTGTTTGTTGGTCTGTATCGTGGACGTTGTGTTCTATCTTCTGGGTTTTGATAGGTCCAACTTCTCTTTGTTGTTTTTGTCTGTCTGTCTGCCTTACTTCTTCCATTGTGCTAAATGATGGTTACTCTGCCACTGTGCTTCTCTCAGTGTGCTGCCATATTGTAAGAATTCCTGGTTTCAGAGTCCCAAAGGCAGTGTTCTGTTGTCAACTGTCCTCAGGGAAGGGACAAGTTGCTCACTTTTCAAGAACTGAATACACGTTTTTGTCAAGTCCAAAGAAGACACCTGAATATAGGATTTTTTTCTGTTTAAAAAAATGAAGTCTGACTTTCCAAATTTTGTAATGAAAACAAATCATGTTCTCCAGATGACTTGAGGGGTTGCAATTTGTCTGTTGCTTGTGGCAGTCGAATGTTTTACCGTATGTGAGGAGTGCTAACAAAAAATAATGGTTACTTCTTGCCATCCTCAAATGGAAATGTCATCTGTGAATCGACACGTTGGCCAAATTTGTACATTTTTCATGGATGCAGTTTTCTTCAAGTTTAACATGTCTGTCATTATTTCATACTTATAAATTGTACAAATTGAACCTCACAAATTCGACATCTGTGTCCATATGGCTAAAATCTGAGAGGTACCTCATTTTGTCAGCTTGCTTCACATATCATTATCCATTTTTGGGCTGTACCCTCGTCATGTCTGGAAACGGCTTATGTTTTTTTTGTTGTGAAAACAGCTCATGTTAGTTTTTATTTATTGACATTGAATTTTCTTGTCATTTTTACTTATTAAATCTTCTTGTCAGTTTTTACTTATTGAACGTTCTTGTGCAAACGGCTCATGTCAGTTTTTTTCTTATGCTCCAGACTTCTTGAATACCCTCTCATCTTTCGGCGCCATGTGTTCCTTGGTTGGTTTTAGTTTTAGTAGAGTTTTTACGGCGCTCGCAACTGCATAGGGTCATCATATGAGCGCCAATTTCCTTGGTTAGCCTCTCTTCCTTGTTTTTGTTTTAGTAGAGGTTTCACGGCGCTCGCTACTGCATAAGGTCATATAAGCGCCAGTCCTCTCTTCCTTGTTCCTTGCAAAGTCCATCATGCTGGTTTTGAAATCACCATTATTTTTTTAATGATTTTTTTTTTTCGGTGCTCCAGCCGTCGCTGTACTCCCTGTGGGTGTCCAAGGACAAAGTGTCGTTTGTGCGGTCAGTGGTCCTGTGTGCCTACACCTCCTTCCTGTTTGGCTGGCATGTACACGAGAAGGCTGTGCTGTTGATGATCATACCCATGACGTAAGTGACGGCGGACTGTGGCTTTGTGGGTGAAGCATTTGTGGGAGCAATGGGGGGAGATTTGGGG